TTCTCCTTCTCCTTCTCCTCCTCTTCTTCCTCCTCCTTCTCCTCCTCTTCTTCCTCCTCCTTCTCCTCCTCCTTCTTCTCCTCCTCCTTCTTCTCCTCCTCCTCCTCCTCTCCTCCTCCTCCTCCTCTTCTTCCTCCTCCTCCTCCTCCTCCTTCTCCTTCTCCTCCTCTCCTCCTCCTTCTCCTCCTCCTCCTCTTCTTCCTCCTCCTCCTCCTCCTCCTTCTCCTTCTCCTCCTCCTCCCCTTCTCCTTCTCCTCCTCCTCCCCTTCTCCTTCTCCTCCTCCTTCTCCTCCTCCTCTTCCTTCTCCTTCCTCCTCCTCTTCTTCCTCCTCCTCCTCCCCTCCTTCTCCTTCTCCTTCTCCTTCTCCTTCTCCTTCTCCTTCCCCTCCTCCCCCTCCCCCTCTCCCTCCCCCTCCCCCTCTCCCTCCCCCTCCCCCTCTCCCTCCCCCTCCCCCTCTCCCTCCCCCTCCCCCTCTCCCTCCCCCTCCCCCTCTCCCTCCCCCTCCCCCTCTCCCTCCCCCTCCCCCTCTCCCTCCCCCTCCCCCTCTCCCTCCCCCTCCCCCTCTCCCTCCCCCTCCCCCTCTCCCTCCCCCTCCCCCTCTCCCTCCCCCTCCCCCTCTCCCTCCCCCTCCCCCTCTCCCTCCCCCTCCCCCTCTCCCTCCCCCTCCCCCTCTCCCTCCCCCTCCCCCTCTCCCTCCCCCTCCCCCTCTCCCTCCCCCTCCCCCTCTCCCTCCCCCTCCCCCTCTCCCTCCCCCTCCCCCTCTGTTCCTCCCTCTCCTCCGCCTCCTCTTCTTCCTCCTCCTCCTCCTCCTCCTCCTCCTCCTCCTCCTCCTCCCTCTTACTTTCTCAGGTGAGGGGCAACTGCTTCTCCCTGCAGATATCAATTCTAAATTTTCTGAACTAGTATCTACCTTTTTGGAAATTATTTAAATTCTAAATAGTTCAGATTAAGAAATAAGTTATAGTTTTTTAAAAATGCGACCTGTCTGAATTGAGAGCAATTTTTAATAATCTTAGATTTCCATTTTTTTTAAAAATCTCCATTAATCTGTCGTTTATATTGCACTAAATTCTGGTACTTTGCTGGGTAGAATTATGGTTTTGCTTTGATTTTTTCAGTGTCAGAACCTGCAGCAATTGAATGAATAGCCAGAAGAGGACTGATTTATTAGGGATAGTAAATGCTAGGTCTGCTTGCTTCGATTCTGCCATTTGTAACAAGGTGGGGAATGAAAGAAGACAAAACCGGTGTCATCTCAAAGGCCAGGAAGAAGAGGCGTTATCAGGGTGAGGAACTCACAAGGCCACGACTCGGTGAGGAAGACATCTGGCGCCAAAGAAGAAGGGGGAGCAGAAGGCATAAAAGTAGAGGGAAAATTACATGGGCTTTAGTTTTAGCAATGCTTTGGTTAGAGCTGCATGTACCATCCAATAAAGGAGATTTTATCTGAACCAGGCCTGGTTTCATGAGAACTCTTCTGGATTGGGATTTGGACATTGTAGACTTGACATTGTAGACTTTTGGAAGGAGGGGGGTGCAGAATTGGAATGTGACTGTTGAATTTTCTACCTATCCTGGAACTAATAAAACCACAGAAAATGTCCGGTTACAGATTCCTGGCTCCAGTATCTCTTTATGGGTTTCTTATCCTATCCCTTGATGCTGAGCTTGGCATTTTGAAATTAAGGACTTAAACATTTTCACCTCCAGGAAAAACCTTTGCCAAGGCTAGCATAGTTTACTGCAAATCCTCTTAATCTGAAAAATCTGAATGTACAGAAGAAAACACCCAGGGCTCTTGTATCTTCAGCATGGCAGAATCATGACTTCCCTTTTGTCTGGAAAGGAAGACCTGGTATAGGGAGAAATTGCCTCCTTATGCCCATTTTGTCTGGCCTGGCTCAGGGCTGAGCGGCAAAGGGGCAGAAGTTGCTCCCTCTCCGTGGGCTTTGCTCTTCCCTCGGCTGTGGTGGTGGGCTCCACTGAGGGTGGGAATGCATTTGGTCCCAAGCAGTTGCCCTACATGGCTGGCGGTGGGTGGTAAACTGAGAGTCCTTCGTTGACAGTGACCTTTCCTCTCCCTCCCGGTGCCAGTGCTCGACCCCTGTCAGCCTGCCCGAGTGTGAAATGGATATTGCACCAGAATGAAGCCAGCTGCTAAATTTATGTCTTGGGGAGGGAGAAACATCTTTGGCATTAGGCAATCGAGGCATTTACTGGTAGCCTCTTTCTCTCTCGTCAGCCTCGGCTGAAGACGTCGGATCATGGTACTGGCAAACGATGGGCCTGGCCTTCTTGGGGCTGGGGGGCAAGGTGGGGGGGAGTAATGGCTTGCAGGTGGCTTTCATGAGGAAGGGCCAGTTTGGATCCCCCCTTCTTGCCCCTCTGTATGGGCAGTTAATGGGCAACGCCTTCTCCTTTGTGTCCTGATTTCAGTGCCCCTTCTTCCATGCCAGATTGTTGCCCCTGCCCATCTGGTGTTTCCTGTTTGTGTTACTCCTTTTTTCTGCAATAGTCAGTCTTGCACCAAGTGTTGACGATGACATAGTGCTAAAGCTTAAATTAGATGTAACTGGTCAGAATGTTAAACAACGGATAGCAAGTTTTAAGCAAATGTGCTGCGCAAGGAACGAGTTGAGCTTTTCCCTTCCTCCTGGAACTGATCATCTCTGGGGAAAAAAGGCTCTTTCCAGTAAGACAGCTGAAAAGATTTTTGCCATGGCCATACCGGAGCCATCAGGCTACCACATTCTGATATTTCTGAACATACAGGTGACCCCCCATGCAGTTCTGTTACTCAATGGTTTTGCATGTCTGCAGTTGGTACAGATCAGATGTCGACATCTGTGCTAAAAGGTTTTGTGTACCTGTGTTTTTTGGTGTGTGGTTCTATTTTGTTGGGGACTTTTGGAGTGGTTTTGGTGTATTTCATGCCTGTGCAGAAAGGTGGACTGGAATGGAGCCCCCGCAAGTAACAAGGGCCACATGTGTATTAAAGGCAGCCATGCATACTACACATTTACAAGCTGCAGTAGCACAGAAACTGAGTCCAATGCTTCTCCCTCCAGCACATCAGCCATAGTAAAAGGTATTATGAACTCCACCAGTATTGACTGGCAATCCTTGATCAAAAGGGTTTTAAGGGGATATAATCCAACAAGAGTGAAGGAACATCCCACTTCCAAGGTTTGAGAAACCATGTCTGGGCTAAATTTCCTTAGCCCTGATTCAACCCATGTTTCAATCCAAAGCAAGGTATCCAGAACTACACCTAGATTTGGGTCAGGGAGCAGAGAGAGCGGGATGCTATCCAGACAGTGAGAGGACCCACTCTCAAGGTCTTCTTCAGTTATGTCTTTTAGATCAGCATTTCTCACTGTGGCCTGAACTCCCCAATGGATCTCAGAAAAGTGGGAGATAAATGACCTGAACTGCTTTGGAGGACACAGAAATTAAAAAGACACCACTGTTAATAATGTGATGTTTTCTGTGGTGAAATATTCCTCCACAAAATCAGAGCGTGCTTCTTTCAGCAGCCCTTATTCTGTTTTCTCCCTGCCTTGAGAATGCTTGAGAGCTCCAGATTTAGATGTTAAGCAGCCGGG